GGAAATTAAACAATAAAAAAAACGAAACATCCAAATCTTGATAAATTGTAAAATCGCAAATTTGAAAAACCGAAAAACAGTAAAATTAAAAAATTTAAAAATCGAAGAATCGACTCTAAAACCGAGTAGTCGAAAATAGAAAATTTAAAAAATTGAAAAACTTAAAAATTCTCAAAATTGGAATGTTTAAAAATTGAGAAATAGAATAAAAGTTTTGTAAATGTATTTGTATTTAGAGAATTTCCGTCAATTCTTGATTGTAAATTCCAAAAAATGAAAAATCGAAAAACTGTAAAATCTAAAAATTTAAAAACTGAAAAACTGAAAAATTATAAATTGAAAAACTGAGAATCGAGAAGTCGAGAAATCGAAACAATAACAAGTTGAGAAATTAAGAAATTGGAAAATTCAAAAAATCTAAAAACAAGAAGTCGAAAAATTAAAGAACTGACAAAGGTGAAAAATTGAAAAATCGAGAGGTCGAGAAATCGAAACATTGAAAAATCAAGAAGTCGAAAAATGGAAAATTTAAAAACGCCTAAAATTGAAAACTTGAGAAATCGAATAAATGTATTATAATTGTACATATACTCAGGAAATTTTCGTCAATAAAGCATTATTATTACTATTAACAATCGATAGGTTGAAAAATTTTTTAAACCGGAAAACTGACAAGTAGAGAAACCTAACATTAAAAATCGTAAAACTGAAAAATCAAAAAAAAAACGAGAAATCGAAAATTTAAAAATGAAAAACTAAAAAATCGAAAAATTGACGAATCGAGAAATCGAGACACCAATAAATTGAAACATAGGGAAAACGAAACATCAAGAAGTTAAGAAATCAAAAAGTCGGAAAAATTAAAAACTTAATGCGTAAAAAAATCGAAAAATTGAAAAACTGAGAAATTTGGGAAAATAAACAATAAAAAAACGAAACATCAAAATCTTGATAAACTATAAAATCGAAAATTTGAAAAATCGAAAAACAGTAAAATCAAAAAATTTAAAAATTTAAAAAATCGAAGAATCGACTTTAAAACCGAGTAGAGTAACTGATTTTTTGATTTTCCCATTTCTCTATTTCTCGATTTTTCAATTCTTCCTTCAATTGTGATTTTTCAATTTTTCGATTTCTGAATTTTTCAATGTTTCAGTTTTGGATTTTTTCACTTTTCCGATTCTTCAATTTTCTTTCCATTTTTCAGTTTTTCAAGATTTCAGTTTTGAATTTTTTCATTTTTTCGATTTTTCAATTTTCCTTCAATTTTTCAGTTTTTCAGTATTTCAGTTCTGGGATTTTGCAATGTTTCGGTTCTTCAATTTTTCCATTTTTTGATGTTTCGATTTCTCGGTTTTTCAATTTTTCGATAGGTATTTTAATTTTTCATTTTTTAAGTTCTAGATTTTCCGTTAATTTTTTTGTTTTCCTTGATGTTTTGATTTGTCGATTATTCGATTTTTCAAGTTCTCCGTTTAGATTTTTTGGTTTTCCAATTCTTCGACTTTTAAATTGTTTAATTTTTAGATTGTTCAATTTCTCGATTTTTAGATTTTTCAATTTTTCGGTTTACCGTTTTTTTTTTCATTTAAAATGTTTCAATTTTTCAATTATTAACTTTTCGATTTTTCAATTTTGGTCTAATTTGATTTCTTAATTTTTTGATTTTTTGACTCTACTGTTGATGTTTTGATTTCTCAATGTTTCAGTTTTTGAACAATCCGATGGTTCGATTTTTCGACTTTTTGGCTTTTCGAGTGTTCAATTTTTTGATTTTTGAATTTTAGATTTTTGTTTTTTTGATTTTTTTGGTGTTTCGATTTCCCAATTTTTCAATTTTTCGATATTAGAATTTTTCAATTTTTCGAATTTTTAAATTTTTGATTTTTCTTTTCTTTTATTTCTCAATTTTTGGATTTTTTAAATTTTACAATTTTCAATTTTACTATTTTTCGATGCTTGGATTTCTCGATTTTTCAAGTTTTTAATACTCAATTTTGCAGGATTTGAATATTGAGAACTTTTATTACCGAACTTTCCCAAAAAGGTGAGAATAGGCTCCTGTTCGAAAGAAATCCGAAAACTTGAAATATCGAAAAATCCAACATTTAGAAAATCGAAAAACTTAAAAATTCTCAAAATTGGAATGTTGAAAAATTGAGAAATCGAATAAAAGTATTGGAAATGTATTTGTATTCAGGGAAATCCGTCAATTCTTGATTGTAAATTCCAAAAAATGAAAAATCGAAAAACTGTAAAATCCAAAAATTTAAAAACTGGAAAACAGAAAAATCGAAAAATTAAAAAATTGAAAAACTGAGAATCGAGAAGTCGAGAAATCGAAACAATAACAAGTTGAGAAATTAAGAAATTGGAAAATTCAAAAAATCTAAAAACAAGAAGTCGAAAAATTAAAGAACTGACAAAGGTGAAAAATTGAAAAATCGAGAGGTCAAGAAATGGAAAATTTAAAAACGCCTAAAATTGAAAACTTGAGAAATCGAATAAATGTATTATAATTGTACATATACTCAGGAAATGTTCGTCAATAAAGCATTATTATTACTATTAACAATCGATAGGTTGAAAAATTTTTTAAACCGGAAAACTGACAAGTAGAGAAACCTAACATTAAAAATCGTAAAACTGAAAAATCAAAAAAAAAAAACGAGAAATCGAAAATTTAAAAATGAAAAACTAAAAAATCGAAAAATTGACGAATCGAGAAATCGAGACACCAATAAATTGAAACATAGGGAAAACGAAACATCAAGAAGTCAAGAAATCAAAAAGTCGGAAAAATTAAAAATTTAATGCGTAAAAAAATCGAAAAATTGAAAAATTGAGAAAGTTGGGAAAATAAACAATAAAAAAACGAAACATCAAAATCTTGATAAACTATAAAATCGAAAATTTGAAAAATCGAAAAACAGTAAAATCAAAAAATTAAAAAATTTAAAAAATCGAAGAATCGACTTTAAAACCGAGTAGAGTAACTGATTTTTTGATTTTCCCATTTCTCTATTTCTCGATTTTTCAATTCTTCCTTCAATTGTGATTTTTCAATTTTTCCATTTCTGAATTTTTCAATGTTTCAGTTTTGGATTTTTTCACTTTTCCGATTCTTCAATTTTCTTTCCATTTTTCAGTTTTTCAAGATTTCAGTTTTGAATTTTTTCAATTTTTCGATTTTTCAATTTTCCTTCCATTTTTCAGTTTTTCAGTATTTCAGTTCTGGGATTTTGCAATGTTTCGGTTCTTCAATTTTTCCATTTTTTGATGTTTCGATTTCTCGGTTTTTCAATTTTTGGATAGGTATTTTAATTTTTCAATTTTTAAGTTCTAGATTTTCCTTTAATTTTTTTGTTTTTTTTGTCGATTATTCAATTTTTCAAGTTCTAGGTTTAGATTTTTTGGTTTTCCAATTGTTCGATTTTTAAATTGTTTAATTTTTAGATTGTTCAGTTTCTCGATTTTTAGATTTTTCAATTTTTCGGTTTACCGTTTTTTTTTCATTTAAAATGTTTCAATTTTTCAATTATTAACTTTTCGTTTTTTCAATTTTGGTCTAATTTGATTTATTAATTTTTTTATTTTTTGACTCCTCTACTGTTGATGTTTCGATTTCTCGATGTTTAAGTTTTTGAACATTCCGATGTTTCGATTTTTCGACTTTTTGGCTTTTCGAGTGTTCAATTTTTTGATTTTCGAATTTTAGATTTTTGTTTTTTTGATTTTTTTAGTGTTTCGATTTCCCAATTCTTCAATTTTTCGATATTTTAATTTTTCAATTTTTCGATATTATAATTTTTCAATTTTTCGAATTTTTAAATTTTTGATTTTTCTTTTCTTTTATTTCTCAATTTTTCAATTTTTGGATTTTTTAAATTTTACATTTTTCGATTTTTCTATTTTTCGATGCTTGGATTTCTCAATTTTTCAAGTTTTCAATACTCAATTTTTCAGGATTTGAATATTGAGAACTTTTCAATTTCTGGATTTTCAATTTTCAGATATTTTAATTTTTTGATTTTTTAATGTTTCGATTTTTGGGTGTTTTGATTTTTCGATTTTTAAAGTTTTTGATTTTTCGATTTTTACGATTTGTTGTCTATTTTAAGTATATTTCATTTTTCAATTTGCGCCTTCTGCGGGAGTATTATTTGTTGTGCTGCACTTGACGGGTTCTTACTAAGCATTCCTTATTTAACTGAACAGTTATTAATTTAACTAAGCAGCTATTATTTCACCAAGCATATATTATTTTTACTGAGAATTTATTTTTTAACTGAGCATTTATTATATAACTTAGCATTTATCATTTTTATCGAGCAAAAATACAGAGCGTTTAAAAATGGAAGATAAGAATGATAAGAATTGCTGGTTGCGTTTAAATGGCGCCCAATTCAAACTTGTCTCTCGTCTAGCGTTCCCCCTTAAGTGTACACTGAGAAATTGACATGTCTACATTTTTCCCGTTAATTATCTGGTTTAAATATATTTCATATTTAAAAACTGACTTTATAGAAGTTAACAGTTATAAGTTTTTAAAAATGCGGAATTTATCGGAATATACTTCAAGGGCGAGAGAATTTATGTCAAAATAACCTTCCACAATTTTTTTTAACTAACTCTGTTTTTTTTTGGTAGTATCATCAAATAAAATAAAAAACTATAAATCTTGGGGAAGTTCTTACGGCGAGCATCCGTCTCAAGCCGCAAGCGTGATCCACCCAAAAAAACTGGGCTCAATTTGGTGCAAAATTGCGTTAAAATATAGCCCCGCCACTGCTAACTGGCTTCCTTTTATCTGTCGCGTCCAAACCGCTCAACTCGTGTTCGCCCTGTTCCCAAACTAAACAATTACAAGAAAATCCTCAACAAAGAAACCAGCAGCCGCTTATCTCCTCGCCCCGTCCACCCATTATTCCGCCCATCGCACACGTCACCGCCGCCAAACCCAGTCGACTTTCTATTGTTGTCTGCGTGGCCGGCACAAAGATGCCGCCCCATGTCCAGGTAGTCTCGGTTCAAAATAGCCAGCGAAACAGCGCTCGAGCCATCACCCAATCGCCAACACACCTAAGAGGTCCGCAATGTTTTGTCTAGCTCGGTAGTACCCAGTACCACGTTTCAGTGTGCGCGTCGGACACGTCGCCCAACCGCTGAACCCGTTCCAGAAGAGAACCCAAGTGCAAGTGCCGATTTTCCGCGCCAGTGCCGTCGTCACCATGTGCTAACAGTGGCATTATGTAAGCGCGATGGGTTTCTCGAGCAACTTGCAGGGGAAGAGCGCCCACGAGGCGCTCCTCTCCCGACAGGACGCCGAGCTGCGCCTCCTGGACTCCATGAAGAGGTGCATCCTGAGCAAGGTGCGCTGCGACAGGGACTACGCGGTGGCGCTGGGCTCGGTGGCCACGCAGGGCCTGAAGATGGACCGCGGCGACGAGCTGCAAGGCAGTCTGGTGGCCTCCACCTGGAAGACGATGATGGAGGAGCTGGACACCACGGGCAAGCTGATCAAGCAGAACGCGGACACGATCGAGTCCAAGCTCCTGGACACGCTGAACAGCCTGTACGCGGAGAAGAGGAAGGTGCGGAAGGCTTATCAGGAAGAGCACGCCAGGATTCTGCAGCAGTTCACACATGTGAGTGGTATTTTTGGACGCGGTGTAAATTTAGACTGGACTGAATGAGTTAATGGGTTTGGTGTTCGAGATTGGAAGTTGTGGCGACGGGGAAATGGGAAAAAACGGGAACGGCGAGGGTGATAATGATAATGATAACTCGCGTGATGACATTTTTCTGACTAACGAAAAACAGACTAAAAGTAAGGCGAGACGTGGGACGAACGATTTTTTCAATTTGGTCCAGGACGTTCACTTTTCGTGGAATATTTGCAGCCTTTTGCTTTTAGGTTTCGGTTGACCTTCACTTTGCAAATGTTGGTAGTTATGTAAGATCTAAAAAATGAGCCTGAGTCTGGTGCGCTCGATGGTGCGCTACCTTACCTTTTAATTAAACAAAAAATTCTTAAACATTTACATTAAAAATAATTGTATGGTTGCACCTTTGGGTTGCACTTGGTGCTAAAAAAGGACTAAAACGCTTGATTAAACAACATCCAGTCCATAAATGAGGATTTATCTCTTCATTGTCTTTTGGGCAAATTTTTTGGCCAAATTTCTACCGCAAAGTACCAATAGAACCACGAAAATCGACATAAGGGGTTGCCTTATTTTAAGTAATATAAACATTTCCAATTTACTTAAATTTTATAGATTTTGGGAAAGGAGACGATTTAACTTTGTACTTTCATGAACGTGACACTAATTGACAGTCATAGCTAACCTAATTTCCGTTTATTTAGCTCTGGAGATTCCACGTGCCTCCTGTCAAAAATTTTAACACTGCTGTTTTGTAATTGGTTATTTGTATATATGTAACACATTATTGCCATTTTTTTTTTGTATTGTGCACAAGATGAAATACGTCATTCTGATATTATGTATTGCGTGAGTAATATGAATTGTTAGTTAGAAAATGGTTTTGGCCTTTATGTGCTTGTATCTCTGTCTCTGTAGTGAGAGGAAGGTTAAGACACATTTCTACTTAAATAAGGATTTGCAATACTTTCCTCCTTTGATTCATGAAGATTATAAATTATAGCGGTGTTTATAGGTCACAGCAACAAATATAAAACACGCATATTTGGTACACGATGCGGATCATTTTTGTGACTAGGTCGAAAAAGTCCGAATTTACAAAAGTGTGCTTTGTAAAACTGGCTTTGTCAAAAGTTTTGGCAAGATGCGCGCGCATCCGATAAAACTAAGTTGACGGAAATTACGTAATTCCATCGTACGTTATGACAGAATTGGTCTCAGAACTATCTTATTGTGCAACGGAGTTCTTAGAATTCTTGAGGCTGCTTTGTACACAATGGAATTTATTGAAATTATTGGAATTATATTGAATTGTAAAAATCATTGTAAAAACATTACAAACTATTTTGGAACTTTTATGTTTTTATGTTGGCTGAAAATAACATAAGCATAATTTTTACTTCCCGAGCGTAAGCGAGTAGTGGCTACTTTCATGTTATCTCGACATCATCTACAAATTTTACAATAGAAAATGCTATTTAAATTTTATGAAATAACGTACTCTGAGTTTTACATTAGGCATCCAGAAAAAATCAAACTTGTAACATTTACAACTTGGCTTTGAAATCTTGTAATCCAAATTTATCCGTTTACGACCCCACCCCCTCCCCTCCCTCAAATGTATGTCATCTTACAATTTTGCCAAATAAATGTTATTTAAAATGTTAGAAAGTGGCATCGTTCTGAACTTGTGGTTTACGACTCCGTGTTGAATTTTTGTCCTAGTTATCTAGATTTTTGAAAAAAAAAATCAAAATTGTATAACGATTTTTTGTTTTTTCAATTTTTGAGCTTTTCAATTTCTCAATTTTTCATTTTATTTGAAATTTTTAATTTTTCTATTTTTTATTTTTCGATTATTTATTCAATTTCTAAATTTTTCGATTTTTCAATGTTTCAGTTTTAGGTGTTTTTAAATTTTCATTTTTTCGTTTTTCTCATTTCTTGATGTCCTGATTTTTCAGTGCTTCGTTTTCTCGACTTCTCAAATTTTCATTTTTCAGTTTTTCAATTTTTCAACTACTCGGTTTTAGATTTTTTCTTTTTCAATTCTTCCATTTTTCAAATTTTTAATTTTTGATGTTTCAATTTTTCGATATTCCAATTTTTCGATTTTACAATTTATCAAGATTTTGATGTTTCGTTTTTTGATTGATCAATTTTTCGATTTTTCGATTTTGGGCTATTTCGATATCTTGATTTTTCGAGTTCCCGAAGTTTCAATTTTTCGGCTCTGCGACTGAAAAATCAGAACATCGAAAAATATGTTCCAATTTTTCAATTTACCGATTTCCCAATTTTTCGACAGTTCAGTTTTGGGATGTTTCAGTGTCTTGATTTTTCGATTTCTCGATTCCACAATTTTATGATTTTTCAATTTTTCATTTTTAAAGTTTTAGATTTCTCGATTTCTCCACATGTCGATTTTCCGATTTTAAAAATTTTTCAACTTTTCGATTAACAATAATAATATCAATGCTATACTGACGGAAATTCCCTGAATACAATAATACATTTACATTTATTCAATTTCTCAATTTTTCAATTTTTGGCGTTTTTAAATTTTCCATTTTTCGATTTCTCGATCTCTTGATATTTCAATTTTCCGGTGTTTCCATTTCTCGGTTATTCAATTTTTCGATTCCCCAGTTTTTCAACAATTCAATTTTTGGGATTTTATGGGTTCTTAATTTTTCGATTTTTCAATTTTACGATTTTTCGATGTTCGGTTTGTCGGTTTTCCGATTTTAAATTTTTCTCAACTTCTGGATTAGTAATAATAATAATAACGCTTTATTGGTGGACATTCACTGACTACAAATACATTTATTCGATTTCTCAATTTTTCAATTTTAGGCGTTTTTAAATTTTCCATTTTTCGATTTCGATTTTTCAATGTTTGGATTTCTCGACCACTCTATTTTTCAATTTTTCAGTTCAATTTTTCGATTTTTCGACTTCATGGTTTTAGATTTTCGGTTTTTCAATTTTTGGATTTTCCCATTTCTTGATTTCTCAACTTTCCATTGTTTCGATTTCTCGACTTCTTGATTTACCCACTTTTTCAGTTTTTCAATTTTTTAATTTTTCGATTTTTCAGTTTTAAAATTTTTCAATTTTACAGTTTTCCGATTTTTCAAATTTTCGGTTTTATTCAGTTTTTAATTTTTCGGCTTTTGGCTATTTCGATGTCTTGATTTTTCAACTTTCCGACTTTCCGATTTCTCGATCCATTGATGTTTCTATTTCCCGATTTCTCAATTTTTCAATTTTAGACGTTTTAAAATTTTCCTCTTTTCGACTTTTTGATTTTTCTGTCTTTCAGTTTTTAGATTTTTCAATTTTTCGACGATTCAGTTTTTGGAATACTACAATTTCTTGAATTTTCGATTTCTCGATTCCTCAATTTTTTGATTTTTCAATTTTTCATTTTTAAAATTTTCGATTTCTCAATTTCTCGTTTTTTTTTTATTTTTTCAATTTTACGATAAATAATAATAATAATAATGCTTTATTGACGGAAATTCCCTGAATACAAATACATTTACATTTATTCTATTTCTCAATTTTTCAATTTCAGGCGTTTTTAAATATTCCATTTTCGACTTCAGTTCAATTTTTCGATTTTCCGACTTCTTGATTTAGCCACTTCTTCAGTTTTTCAATTTCTTAATTTTTCGCGTTTTCAGTTTTTAAATTTATCGATTTTACGCTTTTTCGATTTTTCAAATTTTCGGTTTTATTCAATTTTTCAATTTTATTTTATTATTATTTTTGGCATTTTTAAATTTTCCATTTTTGGACTTTTTGATTTTTCGATTTTCCCATTTCTTGATGTGTCAACTTTACATTGTCCAATTTTTTAATTTTCCGCTTTTTTTTAGTTTTTCGATTTTACAATTTATCAAGATTTCGATGTTTCGTTTTTTTTTTTTTTGATTGTTCAGTTTCCCCAATTTTTCAGTTTTTTGATTTTTTCACATTCAAAATTTTTCAATTTTTAATTGTTCGATTTCCCAACCTTTCGATTTCTCGATCTCTTGATGTTTCGATGTACCGATCTTTCAATTTTTCGGTGTTTCGATTTTTTAGCTTTTTGACTTTTCGGTTTCCCGATTCGTCAATTTTTCATTTTTTAAATTTTAAATTTTTGGATTTCTCGTTTTTTTTTATTTTCAATTTTACGTTTTTTTTTTATTTTTAATGTTTCAATTTTTCGAATTTTCGAGTTCGATTTTTTCGGTTTTTCGAATGATTTCGGTTTTTCGAATGATTTTTCAATTTTTCGATTTCTCAGTTTTTTAATATTGCGATTTTTCAATTTCAGGCGTTTTTAAATGTTCCATTTTTCGACTTCAGTTCAATTTTTCGATTTTCCGACTTCTTGGTTTTAGATTTTTCGGTTTTTCAATTTTTGGATTTTCCCATTTCTTGATTTCTAACTTTTCATTGTTTTGATTTCTCGAATTCTTGATTTAGCCACTTCTTCAGTTTTTCAATTTTTTAATTTTTCGAGTTTTCAGTTTTTAAATTTATCGATTTTACGCTTTTTCGATTTTTCAAATTATCGGTTTTATTCAATTTTTCAATTTTATTTTATTGTTATTTTTGGCATTTTTAAATTTTCCATTTTTCGACTTTTTGATTTTTCGATTTTCCCATTTCTTGATTTGTCAACTTTACATTGTCCAATTTTTTAATTTTTCGTTTTTTTTTAGTTTTTCGATTTTACAATTTATCAAGATTTCGATGTTTCGTTTTTTTTTCTTGATTGTTCAATTTCCCCAATTTTTCAGTTTTTTGATTTTTTCACATTCAAAATTTTTCAATTTTTAATTGTTCGATTTCCCAACTTTCCGATTTCTCGATCTCTTGATGTTTCGATGTACCGATGTTTAAATTTTTCGGTGTTTCGATTTTTTGGCTCTGCGACAGAAAAATTGGAACATCGAAAAATTTGTTTCGGCTTTTCAATTTTTCAA